TGTCTGTCCTTCCTCACTCCTATGTCGGAGGTGTAAATCAGACCCTTGATGTCCACAGGGTCTGAAGGAGACCGGCCGGCAGCCCATAGGCAACTCACCTGCAGCAGGTCGAGCTCTGGGGGTAAACCTAGCCCCCATCCTGGGTCCTCCCCGCTCCAGCTGATCCCACAGCCTCTCAGATGCTGGGCACACGGGCCACCCAGGCTGGGTGACAACCAACATCGGTACTGGTCTCCCAACTGCCCCAAGGGGCGGTACCTGGAGCAGGCTGCTGCCCAGTGCGCATCGGGCGAGTCGGAGCCTGACCCCTAGCTCAGCCACCCCCATCACTGTGACGACAGTGGTCAGTGTTAGTGAAACTCGCTCTGTGCCACCAGCCCAGGGAATCCCCACAAACCTCGTCCACAGGCCGGTTATGTTATAATCCCCACTGATCCCGGGCGAGCTAAGGCCCGCTGGTCGGTGGAGGAAGCGAGATCTGAACCCGGGCAGCGTGGCTTTGGGGCAGCGTGGCTGGCCCCCCTCAGGCCCGCCCCCCGCAGAGCCCTGAGGCTGGCCTGTCCTCCAGGAGGCCTCGTCTCCCCAGGGGCCTCCAGCCCACTCGCTGGCCGGGGAAGGCTCCGGCTCTCCCTGCTGACACAGCAACTCTTTCTTGGCCCCAAAGCCACAGTTGTTGAAAATTACAATCCTTCCTTCCTGACTCCGAGCTCATGGCTCCAAGGGACTCCTAATGCAGACGTCTCCGTTGTCCAGAGCAAGTTCTTTCCATGGCCGCGGCCCAGGCGTGGTAGACAGGAACTGCGGAGTGTCGTGTGGCAGCAAGCTCGTTTGTCTCTGTCAGGCCCTCCCCACGGGCCCCTCTCCCCTCGCTGTCATCCTGTGAGGGTCTTGGCCAGGTCTGGCCGGGGAAGTCGGGGCCTGTGGACCCGACGGAGTGAACCACTTTGCGAGCATTTAATAGCGCGATCTCGGTGTCAAATAAATCTCACCTTAATGGACCGTTTTTCAATGTGTAACCCCGAGTCAAGACTCCCAAAATGTTACCGGCTGTCGGGGGTGAAATGTGTGCCTCTGATACGCTCTTACATGCGTGGGGGTCACACGGCTTCCTACTCGTGGGGGGCCAGGCCCCTGTGATCTGAGGCGGAACACAGCTTCACATTTGCCATTGGCAAGACCAGCTACATTCCTCCCCCACACACTTTTATAGCCTCTTTGGGGGACATGTGTCTAGAGAGAGGTGTGGGCCAGGAGAAGTCTGTCTCAGACGGCTGGGATTCTGGGACAGAAACTACGGCAACATCACGCTCTTGGGATGGGATTGGAGGGCTCGAAACCTTACCAGCTCTGGAATCAGAAAGAAAAGGGTCCAAACCCCAGATTTGCTGTTTACCAGCTGTGCATCCTTGGGCAAATCAGTTCACCTCTCTGGGCCTCAAACAAGTAATCACAGAACCCACTTCACAGACTGTGGAGAGGGCTAAACGGGAGAATAAAAGAAAGGAGATCAGAATGTGCTGCAGGAATCCTGTGGTAGGAGGAGTGTTAATTTTTATTAGCCCTGGCCAGTGTGGCTCAGCGGTTAGAGCATCAGCCCGTGGACCAAGGAGTCCTGGGTTCGATTCTGCCAAAGGTACATACCTCGCTTGCAGTTCGTCCCCAGCCTTGGTCATGGTCGTGAGGCAACCAATGTGTCTCTCTCACATCAATGTTTCTCTCTCTCTCCCACTCTATCTGAAGATAAATGGAAACATTATCCTCAGGTGAGGATTAAAAATAATAATAATACTAATAGTAATTTTATTACATGGTGTCATGAATTGAACAGTGTCCCCCTAAATATGCATGTCTCCCCAGAGTCTTAGAACATGACTTGCTTTAGAAATAGAGTCTTTGTAGATGTAATTACTTAAGATGAGGTCACACTGGATGAGGGTGGCCCTACGTCCAATGAATGGTGTCCTTGGAGAGGAGAGGAGGGGACACAGGGAAGAAGGCCTAGGAAGGCAGTGAACATCTGCTCATTCATTTGCTCTCTTCTTCTGGAAAAGTCCAACAGCAGACAAGGAGGGGACCCGGGCCAGCACCAATGGAGCAGGGAGTCCTCTGGCCCAATCAGTGCCCTCAAACAGTTCTAAGGTCACCCCAGCATTTACACTATCTGGGTTTTTGGCAATTGTTGCCGCTAAGCTGTAGAATGGGGGGGGGGGAGTAGCAAAATATAGGCAAAACCACCCTTACGGTGCAACCCAAGAGCAAAGATTCCCCCACCCTAGATCAGGGTGTTTTTCCACCAGGAAACCAGAACAGTTCATCCGAGTTTCTTCACCCTTTGTCCCAAGATGCAAAAATGTCAGAAATGTGCACGGGCTCTGGCCTGAGGGACACTGGCTCTCGCCCCCGTAGTCCATTTCCTGCACCGGCTGAGGGTCAGGGTGCAGACCACTGCCTGGAGAGTCAGGACGGAGGGCCGGCTCCTGCTGGGTCCCACGCTTGCTGTAGAGCAAGGGACGAGGCCTCCGTCTCTGGGAACTGGTTTTCTTCCCAGCAGACTGGAGGTGATAATATTTGCAGACATAATCTGGAGCAGATGACAACCAGAGGTCGTACTGGGCTATTTTCCTCTGTCCTCCCTAAGCTTAGGGTCAGCAACATGCCAAGTGGGCTCTCTCAGTGCCTCCCTCCGACCCTACTTTATAACACGGGGACTCGGACTGCGGGCAAACCCATCTGTATTCACAAAGCACCAACAGCAAGCTCACGCCGTGCCAGTTTCTGAGAGGTGGTTACAACTGCTCACACCAATGCTTGGCAACATCGGCAGTACCACCCTTTGTTGAGCATTTGCTAGATCCAAAGCATTCTGTGCTTTGCCTCGTTAAATTCTCACCACAAACCTGCAAGACACGTATCATGAGAACCCCCATTTTCCAGGGAAAACTCAGCTCAGTGGCAGTAACTTGCTCAAGGCCCCACAGTTCGGTTGGACTCCCTTTGAACTCTGCTTCCAAAGCAGACGCTGCTGCCCACACATACCCACAACCCAGGGGGCAGCGGTGGTGAGACCCAGACCCTCCCATAAGTGTGACATTCCTCATACGAGCTTATATTTCTAGTGCCCGACACGGAGTCAAACAACTCATATATATTACATCATACATTACATCATAAACCTTCCTGAGAAGCTACCATTATTATCATCCTGTTCATACAGATAAGGACATAGAGGCCAAGGGGTGACAAAGGTGGTAACACTAAGTCAGGACCAAAATCTGGCCTTCCTGACTCCACATCTAAGGTTTTGCCCCCACCCTTTCAAAATGGGGCCAGATACCATGGCTGCTAAATCCATGCAGAGACAGTCACAAGTGTTGGAGAAAAGCCCTAGAGGGACTTTCTGGAGGAAGAGGATCACAATGGATGGGCAGAACCTGCAAGGTACACATTCCCTCTCTTCAGACACCTCAGGGCATTTGCCAGGAACCTGGGAGCTGGCGGGCCCAGGCCCAACCTTCTGAAACTTAGCCCCAGGCATCTCATTCCCCAGGGACTCGAGGAATCCGTCCTGCCCCCACCCACCCCACACAGGCCTGTCTGCATCCCGGCCAGGGCTGGCCCTTCGCCCTGTGCACCTCTCTCCACTCTGCAGGCCTCAGGAAGGAAGGTCGGGAGCCGATGTTGTCCTGGGCTCGCATACCTTAGGGGAGGGCTGGGTACACAAAGCCGCAGGTCATTCACGGCGGCATTATTTGCGACCACAAAAGACTGGAACCAGTCTCCCGTCTGTCAGCAGGAGCCGGGGTGAAGACACCCTGGCCCAGCCACGTACCACGCAAGTGCCAGCGGAGGAAGAGTGGGGTGATTGGGACAAATGCTGAAAGCGTGACATTCGGGAAGAACCTGACGCACGCAGGGGCAGGGCCTCATCCAAGCGAATGAACCCTTAAAGCAATCTCGGGGGGCAGGCCCAGGGTCATCACTTTGAAACGAGGAAACTGAGGTGTGGAGAGGTCAAGTCCCTGGTGCCAGGCTGACGGCTGCACGCGGCGCAGCTGGGCTTGGGGCAGGCGATGGGTATCAGAGTCACGCTCCGGTCCACTCTGCCACATGGCCTCCCGCTGCTCCGTCTTGACAGTAACCTCCCTCGGCCACGAGCACCCGGAATCGGGGAAGAAGAGAAACGCAGACAACCCTCAGCATCAGGGCCCTGCGCTGGCGGGGAGCAGGACTCGTCGGCAGGGGCCTGACGGACGACTGTGGACGACTGTGATCACTCACACACCCTGGTAGCCAACTCCGCTCTCCAGCCAGTTACGGCCAGCGGGCCCCCTGATTATTTTTATAGCCTTCCCTGGAGGCGTGACAAGGAAAACGAAACGATCCGCAGGACCCCTTTCATCGCTAACAGCCGGGTTTCACTGTTGGGGTTGGAGGAAGGAAAGAAAAATCAGTTTTTCCCCCGCTTTGAGCTCATCAACAGAACTCAAGGCCGGGGGGCCAACATGTCGAGAAAAGCTGTTCTCAAGCAGAACTAATTGGCAACAGAAATGGAATTTCCCCCCCAAAAAGGATAAACACGCTCTATCCCTGGGAATTACCCTTCGGAATAGGTATTCCAGACACGTGGGCAGCTACCCGTGGGCAGCCTCACCCAAACGAGGCCAAAGGCGGCCTGGGCTGGTCACCATTCAACTCGGTCGGCCTGCCTTGCTCTAAGATGTTCACGGAGGTCGATGGCCCAAACCAGCCCAGCCTGGACTGCACACGGCTCTCCACTTGCCCAGCATTGCTTCCCTCCTCCAGGGACAGCAGTTGGCTTTGGGGTCCCCCAGACACTGATCTGGGTGGAGCTGATCCCCCCCAACTCTGGGGACGGCCCTGGCAGGCTTACACCAGTGAGCATATCCAGGGCTATTTCAGGAATGGGCATCCGACCCAACCAGAAACAAGAGGCACGAGAAGAAAACATTGGCTGAGGCTTCTGGAAAGGAGAACTCTACCTTTGTAGAGGTGCGGAGATGATACACACAACAGTCAAGATCGCAGCTACCGCCGTGGACAGAAGTAACGGTCAGCATGCTAGTTCCCAGTGGGTGGCAGGTATACAGGTATTTTGTTGTTGTTGTTGTTGTTCTTTATTGAGTTTAGAGAGAGAGGAAGGGAAAGGAAGAGAGAAAGAAACATTGATGAGAGAGAACATCGATCGGCCGCCTCCTGCATGCCCCCTGGGGTCAGGCCCACAACCTGGGCATCGAACCGGCGACCTCCTGGTGCATGGGTCGACACTCAACCACTGAGCCACACTGGCTGAGTTGTACAGGTGTTTTTATTTTATAAATAGATGTGGCAAGACTTCGATGGAAGGGTAAAGGGCCATCCGGGTGCTTCTTTCAGCGTCTCATGACGAGATGATGATCAGTTCAATTCTACCTGAGGTCCATTTTTTAAAGTCTTGAGGAAAGCTCTCTAGACCTAGATCTGGGGACCAGAGATCGATGGGGACCCCTGTCCCTGGGTAAGTGAGCAAAAGACCTAAGGCTGTTCCCTCTTTGGTTAACCGGGGACAAGCCTATTTGGTCCATGGTTGGGGAGGGGCAGCCAACGGTGTATTTGGAGGGAACACTTATACCCCTCCTCATGCCTCTACCTGCAGGGTCTCCCCCCCCTCCGTGGGGAGACTTTGGAAGGAGATGCCGGGCATGGTCCGCAGTGGAGAGCTGCCCACAGCACTGTGTGGGGCTGGAGGGTTCAATTCAGGGGACAACATAGTAATAGCCACCTGACCACAGCAGAATCCAAGCCCCACGATCTCCCTGACTCCGGGGTAATCTGGACTCGGGGAGGAAGAGGGTGTTATTTCCAGGGCCCTCCAAGCCCACCTGAGACAGGCGAGGGGAGGAGCGCGGGGGGCCACTTGAAGGGCGGGAACCTGGGCCCAGGTTGGTCTGACAGGCACATCTGAGGATGCCCAGCTCACTGCCTCTCACTGTCATGCGGATGAAGGGCCACTTGATGAGTCAGCACAGACCACTAAACTGTGGAATTCATAAGTGAAATATGGCTCTAATTCAGGATTCTCCCCAAAAGTCTGGCTGTCTTATCACCCTTGGCAACATAGCACAGCAAGTATGTCCACGAGTACCTATGGGGTGCTCACTATGCGCAATAAGCATTTCCTAAGTGCCTGCTGTGGGTTATAGCACTGAATAAAACAGGCCAAAAGAGAGAGAGAGAGAAATCCCTGCCCTCAGGAAACTTACATTTTAGGGGGCATTAAAAAAAAGAAAAGAAAAATATGTAGTATGTTGGATGATAAATGGTGAGGAGTGAACCTTGTGGAGATCCGGACAATGAGTGGTCCAGGCAGAGGGGAAAGCAAGTGCAAAGGTCCTGAGGCATGACTGTGCCTGGCACAACGGAGAACCACAAGTACAGTGAAGGGGAGGATGAGAGAGGTGAGGTCCAGTTCCTGTAGGGCCTCGTGGCCATCGTGAGGACTTTGCCTTTTACTCCAGGTGTGGTGGGAGCCAGGACTGGGGGATGAGGGTGTCCTGGGCAGAGGAGCAATGGGACCTGATTCCTTTTCACAGGACCTGACCGGCTGCAAGCGGAGAACAGACTGTCAGAGAGGCGAAGGAAGCAGAGACCTCAGTGAAGAGGCAACCATGATGGTCCAGAGAAAGATAACAGCTGCTTGGACCAGGCTGACACAGGGGAGGTGACCGGAAGCGGTCAGCACCCAGTTACAGGTTGAGGGCAGAGCCAATCACATTCTTTTTAGTGCAGAGTGGGAGCAGGTGGGCTCTCCTTGTGTGTTTTGGGATCAAGAAAGTCTGAGACCTGGTTAGAAGGCGGAGATGTGGTTGCCAAAAGGGATTTCTTCTCTCAGCCTCCTGGGACTTGGGTCGTGCCGGCTCTGCATGGTGTAGGTCTGCATGGCCTAACGGGGAAGACGCCCGGACACGCGGGCCAGTGAAAACAGCAAGAAGCAGATAGAAGGAGAAATGCTCTCATGTTTGAAAATTATGACCTGTGAGTGAATGAATGGCTGGAAAAATAGGTGCACCTGGCTCTTAATGACCTGGAATGAAGATTTAAACTCAGGATTGCCCTCCCTACCACGCAAAATAAAATGATAATCAACCCCGTCTTTAGTTCTCTTTAAAATGTCGGTGGCACGGCTCCCCGCTGCCATCACAACAGGCTCCTCGGAGCCAGTGTCCCTACCTGGGCCTCCTCCTTGGCCTGGACTGGAAGGGAGGCGGGGCTTGGAAGGGAGAACTATTTTCCTCTTGTGCTTGCTGGCTTGGGAGAGCTGGAAAGGGCCCACCTGGCTCCTAAAGTTTCTAAAAATAGAAAGTTGTCTTAGCTTTCCTATAGTTTTGGCTTAGCTGTTCCTTCTACTTTTGCCAAGATGCCGTTGGTATTAGAGAATCGTCGCTGTGCGTGAAAATGCAGGACGGCGGGGGCGAGACTGCAACGGGACCGAATGAGCGGGCAGCTGCCACGGATGGGCCGCCAGGGATGCTGCTGGTGTGGACGACACCTCCGACCCGCCCAAGCCCTGCATCCATCCCAACCGGCGGGCAGGACAGCACTTCTGCCGTTGGTTTGTTTTAGCTGAGAAGAGGAAGTTGAGGGAACTGTGTCCAAGGCCAAGTGCCTGGAGTTTGAATCCTTCTGGGTGAGGGCTGAGGACCGTCCATGAAGGACTTCCGAGACCCTGGGCACAAACATATATGCTGTGGGGCCAGCGGTGTGCTGGTAAAGGTTAATAACAAGCTCTGCAGGAGAAAGTGTGTGTGTGTGTGCGTGCACATGTGTGTTTACACAGATATATGCACATACACATGCACAAGCACACACACACCTACACACATATACTTAGGTTTATTATAGAGTGTATTGATGTAAAGGATATCTGGCACACAATTTCCAAATAAAGGTAAAATTTACCATGCCCCTTTTTGTAAAGTTCGTATCATCAATGGATTCATGCAGAACGTTTTCATTGGTTGTTTTCCCCCCTCAACTCTGGTATCTGTAGTCAATCTAGGGTTTTAATGGGTGAGCAACTGTAGTCCTTCAGGGATGTTGGTTGATATTTGATTTTAGCTTAAGGAGTAAGACCAACGAGATATAAGGAGCACGTCAGAGTTTAACTAGTTTGTCAATGAAATGAGCAACTTCCTCAATTTTAGGTGCTATACACAATTTTACAATGTAACAGCTAGAGAGAGAACAGATTTGTTGTTGTTGTTGTTGTTGTTAGCTTTTCCATTGATATTTTAGACAGAGTGGAGGGAGGGAGAGAGACACATCGACTAGTTGCCTCCTGCATGACCCTGACCAGGTTGGAGATCAAACCTACAACCCAGGTACATGCCCTTGACTAGGAGTCAAACCCAAGAACCTTTGGTCCATGGACTGATGTTCTAATCACTGAGCCAAACCAGCCAGGGAGAGAACAGACTTTTATGTTTAATCTGCATCATTAACTTTTCCTCCCTCACGTTCTCAGATCTAGACAATGAACAGAACAATAAATTAAGCCCTGTGTTGTACACGTTTGCCAATTCCCGAAGTGTAAATACTCCTCATGTGGCCTATATCAGGCTACCAACTTGACATCACTAGAGATGAAAGCGGAAGGAGAGGGCCCAGCACACCGTTATGTAGTGCTTCCACCAGGCAGCTACGATCGATGTCAATGACCTCAGGAGCACAGGTAATATGGACAGGCGGACCAGCTATCCCAGTTTGCCCGGGACTGAGGGGGCTTCTGGGACCATTAATCACCCTAGAGCTGGGACCACCACTCAGGCCTCTGCTTGAGCCTAAGACAGAGCCCGTCCCTAAAAGGACGAGAGGTCTGAGTTAGTACAGAACTGCTGTAGGATGGAATTTTCCAGGGAAGAGAAAACAAGAGGCCACATCTGGGTGCCGGGACCTCCAAGATGCCTGACCCCCTGAGGGATTCCCCACCTGCCGTGGCCGCTTATCTCTTGGCTGCTGCCGGCCACAGCTGTGGGGACGCATATGCAAATAGCCTGCGATAATGCGAATGTGTGACTCCCCAGGGGCAGGCATGTGGAAAGCAGTGTTTCACAATTCCGCCTCGTCCAGAGGAGCAGTGGGGGCGCAGAATGATTTGAAACACATTTTTTGAAAAGGCAAAATAAAATTGGAACGAAACCTAGCAGAGACATATGCCACTCTCTCCACCCCCAGCTCTCTCCACCCCTGCCTGATATTAACCCTGTTCTCTCACACGCTGGAGTCTCCTCCGGCAGAGCGGCAAACACAGCAAATGACACCGGGCCCTCCATTCCGATCAGGAGCCCCTGCCCGTCCCAGGACAGGGGCTGACACACCCTCCAAGCAGCTACAGGCTGCTCACCTGCTTGCTTCTTCCTCTGCCCAACCTCTCTGCCTCCCTCCTCCCGATAATGCGCCCTCCTCCTCCCCCCTGCTTCCTGGGATAATCACGGATGCATAGACCACAGCATACAGACCACTGGAGAAGGACGGTTTAGTGAAAGTAAAGTCCGAAAAGCCGAGATCTGATTGTCATCTCTGCCGCTGACCAGCAGTGTGTCCTTGGGCAAGTCACTTCACCTCTCTGAGCCTCTGTTTGCTCCGTGTACAATGAGGAGAATGATGGTAATACCTACTCCACAGGGATAGCGGGGCATCCCCGAGCTGCAGTTTCAAAATGCCTAGCACGGCGCTTGGCACACAAGAGAAAGCGGTCCCAGCAAGAACCCTTTGAAGATCCCGGGTTCAAGCACTCCGTTTCAGAGCCGGACAAGCAGAGGCCCAGAGAGGGAAAAGAACCTGCCCAAAGCCACACAGCATCTCGGCCTCAGCACCGGCTCCCGGCAGCAGCTTGGGGGGCTCCGGGTTGGAGAGTGAGGACGCGCTGCCCGCCCCTGGCCGGTCCCCTGGCCGGTCCCCACCCCGGATCCCCGATCCCCGATCGGAGCAGTCGCCTGCACTCACCGTCAGCAGGGCTGGACCTTCGGGAGCCCGCGGCCACCCTCCGGGAGGCAGCCTGGTTGGTCGCTGTGGCTTCCCATCCACATGGAGAGGAGCCCGGACTCGCCCCAGGAGCCCACTGTCCCCGTGGTCTTCGCAGACCCGGCTGCGGGCCCCGATAGCGCCGCCGGGCTCTTATCTGGCCTGTGTCAGGGTCCAGGCGCTGCAGATCCGGGGTTCCAGGAAGCCCGCCCGGGGCGCCCCCAGCGGGCCCCGCTCCCCCGGATGCCGCCTGCGGCTCTGGACGCCTCCGATTGCCTGTCAGTGTCACTCGGAGCTCCGCCCGGGAGGATTCCGCGTGGGCCCCCCGCGGGCCGCGCCCCCTCGCGTCCCACCCCCACCCCCGTCTTGGCGAGGGGACTGGGAGAAGGCAGCGAGAGTGGCGAGTCCGCCCGTCTGGGGCTGTGTCCTGGACTCTCCGCGATCAATCACGGAGCATCTGATGCCTGCTTTGCCTCCGAGGGGGGTGAGGGGGCGCCCAGAAGTTTCTGTTTACTCCGCTCTGCACCGGGCTGCGTGCTAATCGCCAACAGGCCGGAGGCAGCCCCCACCCCCACCTTCCTCTTCTTACCTTGCCCCGCTCTCGTCCCCTCCTCCGCTTTCTCCTGTCTTCTCCCCTCGTCGCCATCTGTCCCCTCCTCACACCGGATCTGCTGCTCCACACACCCCTTCCTCTGGCCCTGGGTTTCCCCAAATCCCATCATCGCCTTGTGCCTCTGGCTTCTCGGATGCGAATTGGCTTCGCCTTTTTCCTTCACATCTTTACAGCTAGTAGGCAACCTCTTTTACTGCCCCCCCTTTACAACCTAATTATTTCAGGGTTTGCCCCCCAAAAAAACACACACAACCCTGTGATATTTGTGTGTTAAGACTCCTCAAAACTTAGTGTCTCTGAGTCAAGGGGGGGAGGGGTGCCAGGCTTTTTTTGTCACCTCTGCTCATCTTGCTTTGGATTCTGCTCAGGGATGCACCGGGAACAAAGTCCCCATTGACGGAGACGGCACTACAGGGCCTCCCAGCCTGTAACACCTAGAGATGAATTTCCCTGCCTCACCCTGGCTCCCTTCCACCTTCCAGCCACTGCAGACCAGAAGCCAGGGCTGAGCAGCCCCAAGAACAGAAACTAACACCCCCCCCCCCCACTCACACTCACACACACACTCTGAAGGGTAACCCTGCACAAGCTTTGAAAACCGAAAGCAAGAATAGGGTGCCACCCGCACATCACGTAAGCATGTGCAGTAGGAGGCATGCCCATGGAGGTTTGCTAGGAAAAAAAAAAGGCTAATCACAGGAAACAATCGGAAATAAATATCCGTCAAATAACGATTGTTACATAGAATGCAGAAGAGTCAAGCTGTGGTTTGCCAGGCGGTGGGTTAGAAAGCGTGCCCCGTGTCTATACGGAACTACAGAGGTGGATCTCCAAGATGCCTTGTTCAGTGAAAAAGGGGTCAGAATGGAATATTCCGTATAATCCCGATTGTGCGACCCTCCCCCTTACGCACACATAAAATGAAATACTATGGAAACACATGTACAACCAGGACAATAGTCTGGACGGATATACCAAACTGAGTCATTACCTCTGGGAAAGGGGAGGCAAAAGGTTTCAGGGTGATGCTCTGACCTGCAATAGCTTTATTTGGAAAAATGGAAATGGATTCGTCTGTTACTTGTGTCCAACCAGCTCCCTTCTCTGGGAACACGGCACCTCACATAAGGAGAAAATTTCATCCCCCCATCTGCCTGCTTGGACTCACTCAAAGAATTCTGCAATTTGTCAGCAGAGAAATAAACAACAATCCTGAGGCGCGCACCCAGAAAGTCTGCAAGCGCTCCAGTTGGATCACCTCCGCTTAGATGTTGGGGCCCCTGGAGCCAACAGTGACTTATCACGGTGCAATTCCTTAAGAGCAGAGGAGCTGTCCCGTTCCTCCTGACAACGAGGACAGCAGATACGGACTTGAAAGGAAAGTACTGGAAAGCGATCCTGGGTTTCAGGAAACCATGTCATCCTCTAACGTATAAAACATGAAAACCATTTTGAAGCATTTTAAAGGCATGAACTTGAACGAGTTCAGACGAAGGGCTACTGAGCAGGCACAGTATCGGCTGAGCCCTTCCTCTCCCTCGCTGGCTACACAGAGGACACGTCTCACAGACACGAGGGGCAAGCAGGCCTGGTACCCCACGCAGGGCTCATGCTCGGGCACTGCGGATGGCATTCTCCAGCACGTTCTCTTGTGTTCACTTGTCAAAGGCCTGCTTTAGGAGAGCAGCCAGGGGCGTTGCTATGGAGAAGACATAACATTCTCCATAGCCCTGAGCCCGTGGGGGCAGCCACCAGCCCCCACCCCCATCCTCCAGGTTTGGAACCCGGTCATCTTGAACTTGGGGTTTCCAGCTATCTGAGGCAGAGCATAGTCAGACCATGCCATTCCCAAATCAGGGCTCACAGAGGGTGGTACCCAACGGGACGTTAGGCACCCAGCAAGGCTGAACCTCACAGCGGGAAAGTTTTTGTAAACCGGTGACAATACTCTTCCAGCCCCTGTGACCTCGGAGAACAGCTCCGCTTTCTGCGAATCTGTCTGACATCTATACCATTTCCTAACCTCCCTTCTTAGCCATTGACACTTCCCAATTTTTAATTTTTTAAAGTTTGAAAGTGACTCTACCAGATAGAGAAAAACGAACAAACCCTTAACGAAACATGGAGTTTAGTTCACGATCGTGTATCAGTAACGATGTACGATGTCAACGGGAAGGGAAACAGTGAGAAACCGGGTCCAGGGTAGCTGAGAATTCTGTCTACTCTTTGTAACTTTTCTTTACATCTAAAACTATTCTAAAAATTGAAAGTGTATTTAGCCCGGCCAGTGTGGCTCAATGGTTGAGCATTGACCCACGCACCAAGAGGTCGCTGGTTCAATTCCCGGTCAGGGCACATGCCCAGGTTGTGGGCCCGATCCCCAGTGGGGGGCATGCAGGAGGCGGCCAGTCGATGTTCTCTCTCATTGATGTTTCTCTCTCTCTCTCCCTCTCCCTTCCTCTCTCTGAAATCAATAAAGAAAAAAAAATTGTATAAAAGAAAAGAAAGTGTATTTAAGTATTTTAATGAGCCTAGAAAATAAAAAATTCTATGGTGTTTTTTAAAACATATGTACGGAGAGAAATAGAGTAAATGTGACAAAAACACTAACAGCAAATTTAGGTAAGAGGTACGTGGGCGTTCTTGACGCTATTATCTCCCTGCAGGTCAGAAGTTTGTCGAAACAAAAAGTTAGCCAAGAATCAATGAATTTAAACAGAAATATTAAGTCCGCAGGAGCCCGGGTGGCAGACAGATTTGGCCAGAGTTGTCGAGGTAGTACCTGAGTTGCTGGCATTTGGGGAGCACTGGGCTAAGAGGTGACCTGGCAAGGAGGTAGATCTGCAATGACCCCAAATGGTCTCTCCAGTCCCGGAGCAACGCTCACCACCTGGCCCCAGAATCTTCTCTGCGCCCCACCCCCAGGCACACGATTCCCTCGAACGGCTCCTCGTGACGTAAGCAGGGCGGGTGTCATCATGCCACACGCCAGGCTGGGCACTGCGGGGACAGAGAAGAACTGAGAGGAAGTGTCCTGGTGCGAGACCGAAGTGTACATAGAGATCTGTTCACGCTGCCAGGCGCTAACCTCAGCCCAGGGGCGGTGGGGGGGCCTCTGCCTGGGCCAATGAAGGGGACACCCAGGGAAGCGCGTTTCCAGAGATGGCTGAGTACACAGAACGGTTAGAGTGACTGTCCCAGAACACCTCTGTGCTCAGACCCCAGGGTCAGGCCAGCCCCACAGCCTCAGGGTCGGGTCCCACCTTCGTCCTCCTCATGTCGCCTGCTTGGGAAGGGAGCTGGTGAGTTTAACAGGAGGAGCAGTCTCCCAAACCCGTCCCCCTCGGTCCAATCCATCATTCTCCTGCAGATGGTGGCATCAAAATTCTCCTCTTTTACCCACCCTGCCGACCGTCGGCACTGAACAGAACATGGGATCGCTGGGTTCTTTCTGGAGATAAACATCTCCATCCATCATTCCAGGCTCGTCCTGCCCTCTCGCCCTGGCCCACAGCCTCTTTGCTGGCCCCTCAGCTCCACAGGGACCACGGGCCCATTCATCAGACAGACGTGTGCTCTGTTGAGCTGGGCGAACGTCTGGAATGACAGGCTCCCCATCTGGCCTCAGCCAGGGCCATAAACCTTGATTCAGCAGAGAATGAACCTGCCCTGGAACCTGGGGGCCTTATCAATTGGAGGGATTAGCAAAGGCCTTGTCCTGACCTGAAAGAAAATCCCAGACACCGTCCACACTCCCTTAGGGACCCTCCAGAGTCAAATATTTTCAGAACCAACTCCAGTTAAGTAAATAGTTTTCTGCACGTGAGTGCCCACGGGGTTTCTCGGACGACCTGACATTCTCCACTTGGTGACAGTCATTTCCTTACAAACATAACATTGGAAGCGATCTTTGCATTCCCAGAATGACTTCCCCCAGCTGAGGAATTCTGCGATCTTCAGTTCGGGGCCGTTGCTTTATTTTGTGCTTTGATGACAACACCCCCCCGAAATGCATCCTGTACAATTTGATAAGAGCCCTTTGCGCCCCCCACCCCACCCCATGCCTGTCTTTCTTCACCACAGATTTCTAGGAAACTCTTCAAAAAATGTGCTGCTTAAATTGAACCCTGATGCTAGGAGCACTAATGGGCGCCCTCTTCAAAGGGATTCTCTGCAACTCAACAGTTTACATGGTGCTGGAGACAATGGACTTAAGCGCACAATTTATTTGGCTTGGCTGGTTCCATGCTGGTTGGAATCTGCTTTGGGGGGAAAACAAACCCTGCATATGTTTAGATTTATAATTTATACCAAAAGCACAAATACCTCGGAGCAGGGCGAGAGTGAGACGCAGTTACGAGGAGGAGCCACTGCTCACGGGGATTTGCCTCTTTCATGGACGGACTATGAGGGGTTACAAACTGCTTTTCAGTTAAGCCCCCTTCTTTTCTCCCTGCTTCCCAGAGAAGCATCTACGGCAGAAGCTCTGGACGGCCTCCTGACCTTGTACAATCGCCCTGATCTGGCTCTTCCCAGCTGTCTGGGGTGGTCCCTGTTCTG